TTAATTTTTCCTCCCCAAGTTGCATAGACGTAGAGGGTACTGACCAACCAATTCTAAGCATATGCGAGTGTTTCTCGTCTTTTGTGATAGTTGGATAGTGCTGCGTAATTCTGACTTCGTAATAGACTTTTCCATTTAAGACACCATGAGATGCTCTTGCACCAGCCCACATATCACAGAGATCCCCATCATGCATAGGTGTAGCAGAGTAAAATCCATTTTTATTAATAACTAAATTCAAATCTGAATCATCTAAAAATACAAAAAAAAAAAATATATATATATATATGTAATATTGCATACATGTATATATTATGTATTTTCATTTAACATATATAGGCTACGGTCAACGTGACGCTACAAATTCTTCTCTTTCTTTCTTCATTGAAAGAAAAGAGGACGGCTTCGAAGCATTTGTAGCGTCACGTTGACCGTAGCCATTGACGTGCCAATCTAAAAAAATAACACATGATTTAGGCTACGGTCAACGTGACGCTACAAATGCTTCGAAGCATTCCTCTTCTCTTTTTTTTCAATGAAGAAAGAAAGAGAAGAAGAACGCTCCAAAGCATTTGTAGCGTCACGTTGACCGTAGCCTTAATCGAAAAAACTTACACCATGATAAAATTACAGCTGATTCGTCAAGATCTGGTTCATCCTCTGCTTTCTGTGGCACAGGAGATACCTGACGAACTTCTGCTGGGCTAGGAGATCTTTTTCTTTTCCTGTCATTGCCGTCCATTCGATTTGATTCTTCTGCATCTACGGCAACTGTTTGCTTTAAGAAATAGTCTTCGGCTAGTTCCTTTTCCATGGAAATAAAAATAAGTCAATGGGTGATTAAAAATATATTAAAATTATAAGAGACAAATGCATTCTTACGCCGTGTTATACATTATGATTATTTTATATGTATATAAAGAAACATGTTATTATATACCTGTTTATCTCGTGAAATTTCATTATCATCAACTTTTTCATCTAAATTTTCCATGTTCGCTGAAATGTCCATTTTGTTGTCTTGCGCCGTATAATCATCATGGATAATCTTTTCCTCCTGCTTTACGTCAGGATCACTCGTTTTATCTACGTGATCAGACATCACATGTGTTGGTTGTTCAACTTCCGGAATGTTTATATTATCCTTAACGTTACATCTACCCTCTATACGTTCATTTTCTTTCTCACGTGAACGTTCATCTTGACTGCTTTTCTCAAAAACATGTTGTATTTTATCATCATCTTCATCTTTATTCTCTGTTTTCTCTTCCAGTTTTGTAACATCTTCTGTTTCTGCAGTTAGCTGTTGAATTTTGCCATCTTCATCTATACTAGATATCTTTGCTTCATGACCTTCCCGAGTTGAAGAAAATAAATCTACACATGCACGTGTACTAGGTTTTTCAGACGGTTCTGTCACAGGTACTTGGAGAATATTTGCTCGATACTTATTACCTTCTAAAATATTCACACATTTTGCCTCTTCTGCCTCATATTTTTCAGATACCGCGGACGAAACTTTCGGAAGAATGTTTGGCGCGTCACCTTTTTGCTCTTCTCTATACTTATCGGGAGACATTTTTGACATTTCTTCTTGTTGTTGTATTACAGGTTCTTCAGACATAGATTCTGATATTGTCACCAACGTCTCGTACGTTCTCTCGCCGTACTGAGGTTTGCTCGGCGTAGCGTGCTTCGAAGAATTTGGAGTGGTAGATGCTCTCGATGCATTTCTCGTGGAAATTTTTGTCGGAGTAGTCATCGAGGAGCTCCTAGATGCTCTGCTAGGTGTTCTCGGTGGTTGCGATGATCGTGCAGCTTCCGCGACTCTCTCTTGTGTTTCTTTCAAAGCCGTATCACCAATATTTTCTGTATGCAAAGCTGACGCATCTGCAAAAAAAATGTAATAAAATATAGCATAGCTGCAGCTTTGTACGCTGCAGATTATCGGGTAGGAGATATCAAGCAAAAATAAACTTAAAACTAGAAAATAAAATTTTACAACGTAACATGGGAAATCAAAAAATATGACAGCATGTTAGATCACGTCAAAATATGTTTATGTAAAATAAAGGAGCACACGGTTCAGAATGTTAGTCAGATCTCGTCAGTCAGATCAGATACAGCTTATAATGTTATGACCACGGACACGGACGTGCCCATGCGTAGCAGAGTGACGGTGATGGTGCATCGTCAGGAAGGTATCTCGCCGTGCGCGGCACCGTGCACGGTAACGGTACATCAGTAGAATACGCGAAATAGAAGCGAGTACAAGAGAGAGGCATTTAGGGACAGGTACGACTTACACTCCTGTGGTGTTTCCTCCTCCTCCTCCAGAGCCTTGCGTAGCCGCTCGACGAGCACTGGCTTGTTGCCCTTGGTGTCGAGGCCGCGGTCGCTTAGCGCGGCTCGCAACTCCACCACTTTCAACTTAGACGGATCCATCATGCACGCGCGATATGCCCCGTTACGCGGACAGGCAAATTCATGCACACCTTACGTTGTTACGTTTGACGCGAGAGAGAGAAAATGCTGACGATTCTCACGAAAGACCCATGTACACGCGCCACTGACCCGCGCTGCATACACAATATGGCGGGACGGTCGCAAAACAGTTGGTTACGTAGCGCGCGCCCTTGCTATTGGCTGGCCGCGCCAGCCGTTCCGAACCGACGCCAGCTGCACGGCCAACCGCGAACGCCGTTTCATTCGCGACCAAGAGCGGCGCGCTCGGCGATTGGGTCACTCCAAGGCGGGACGCGCGACCATTGGTTCACGTTGCCCCCCCCCCCCCCCACATTGGCCTAAACGCACGCCGCTCCTGCGAATTTAAAAAGGGCGTATGTACGTGACACACGTATTACTACTACGTACATACATACGCATACATTTGTCCTTTTATTCATACACATGTCTTTGTTTTACCATATATACTTTTACCTTTAATGGAAATCTCAGGCAATCTCAGGAAACGATTTAAACTGCCATAAGAGAGTGATCGCGTCATTTACTATAATATATTTCTTGTAATAATTATATAACGCCAACGATTGTACTTTGATAACTGCTGCGGTCCACTTTACGCTACGAATGCTTTGAAGCGTTATTTTTCTTCTTTTTCTTCTTCTCCTACTTCTTTCTCCATTGCGAAGAAAGGAGAAGAGAGTGTGGACTGCAGCTAACGTTATGGCTTTTGCACACAGGACGCGGAAACGCTTGCCGCGCGGCAAGAGGCGACGCGGTAGCCACGAAACTTTTGGTTCTTACGGAAAAACAACACGTTGCGTGGCTACAGCGTCGCTTCTTGTCGCGCGGCAAGCGCGTTTCCGCGTCTGTGTGCAGAAGCTATTACTTGCCTGGCACATTCTGCTGTCAGCCAATGAGAAGTACTATTTTACGCTCAATGTTCAACGTAGGTTTCTACGTGGCTGTTGGATCTAGTATCGTTTTCATGAAAGATCGACGCTCGATGCTATGTGCGCGGTCAATGTACACACACTGATACACACATGCATAATACATGCAACACATACAGACCATACAGATCAAGTATGGATGTTTATCGTATGATTGATTGATTGGCTAAATTTTTTAACTATCGCAATGCAAAGTAATTATATCTATACCAAGTTGTACGGATTCGAGCATTTTGTTATACATTGCGTTCGAATGCGTCTTGGCGTACTTGATCGCTTTTTATTCCACAAGTAGTGAGTGACCGAAGAAGCATGAATGCACGTAATATGAACTGGTTGTCTTCAGCAGAAGGAGAATCTTTGGTCCATCACTTCTACGTGACGTCTTCTAAAAAGAGAAGATTCTATGGTGCTATCTATTTGTACTAATTAGGTATACAATATACAAAATGCACATTTATTTTCTTTCATCAGTTTACTGTTTTTATATGTTATTCAGGCATTCTGGAGAGACCGTCGTTGCCTTCTTCCATCGAGGAGGTCACTTACAAGATCTTCGTGATAGGCAGATCTGGCGTGGGAAAGACTTCAGTGGTAGCGAGACTCGCGGGAATCCTCGACTCCAACGGTTACACGGAAACCAGTGGGATAAGAAAAACAAATGTTTTTTGGCCTGTAAAAATCTGGGATAAAGTCGTTTTGTTTAAACTGCAATTCTGGGACACCTCGGAGAGTAGTATAAAAAAATACACGCATATTTTGCCAGTATGTGTGAGATTCATTCATGTCAATACAACTTCTTCTTCAATATACGTACATTTTATTAAAAAGATGTGTAAACGATACGATACATTTTCCACACAGGTATGCAAAGATAAAGTTGATGCGATTTGTTCAGTGTTTTCCTTTGACGATGCGTCGAGCTTCAATGACATTCCATACTTGATGAACACAATGACCAATATAAAAGGAAAACCAGCAAACATAGTGATTGGCACAAAGTAGAGTGTCGTTACTCGATGACGTGCAGTATCGTAAGATGGAATGGAGATTCGGATAATGATCCAACTTTTTGCAGGTTCAAACCTTGGTCAAGCTCCACGATAGATGAAGTACAAATTAAAGACGTCGAAGACAAGTGGAACGTTAAGGTGATCAAGATTGATGCCAGCAACGTGTCAGTAAGATCCGAAATATTTGATTGCTCGTATCAATTGAATGCTATTTGTAACATTTTATGGAATAGAGATAAAGAGTTTATATCTAAACTGATGGGACAAGTTTAATAACTACAAACAGATGTATTTTTCTACGTTTTATACAAAATAAAAGCACATAAAAAGAGAGAGAGATATCAATCGTATAACGTGTTTATTAAACCTTAGATTTTGTTGGCTGTATCCTCAATTACGTACAGTTGCAAATTTAAACAATCAGTTTTAATATCTTTCAGTGGTAATATATTTTTATCAATCATCTCTACTGCATCATCTTTAATAATCCATGGAAAATCTTCACATTTTGGATTTTCGCTTAGAATGATGTGTGCAGTTTCATATGTTTGAATTTCGATAGAAAAGATTGACGTGTCTGGGATGGGTCTTAAGTATGTATCACACATTGATAATTTTAAACAGACTGTCTTCAGTGCTTCTTCTGTTTTCAAATAATATGGATCTCTCCTTAAAATAGAAAAGACGTAATAAATGATTAAAATCGAATAATATAATAGATATATATTTATTATCGATCAACGTACTCTGTAAGCTGTGCCTGCAGTTTAACCATATCAAAGACATATTTTTCTATCGGCAACTTGTTTTTGTTGTAGAAGGTAAGCGTGATGGCTTTAACGCTCTTTTCATCTTCCTTTATCAATTCCTTGATTGCCGTCAGAACATTTGATAAATATTCATTCACCTCTGGATGTTCTGATACATATATCGTAATTCCATATATCTTTTTCTTAACAAAAATTTCCTTGGGATAGATTTTGCGGCAAAATAATATGTGATTAAACGCTACTTCTAAAAATTCCAAGAGAATGTCGACTCCAACTGCAAGTAACGTTTATTTATCTCGATGAAGAGCTGCACATATTACTATTACAGGTATGTTGTTTGATATTAAAATAGGTTTGACTGATCGTAAAACTATACCTATCTTGTCTTGAGACATTTTATGACGACATTAAAGATATTGCGTGCGATGTCATGCTGCGTTTTTAAAAAATTATCACATCTAATGTACATAAAAAGTAAATATATTTTCCACTTTTATACTTGAACTCACATGGCACATGGCTCATGCTCATGATCATGATCGTTAAGCAGTAACCGCCATGCCACATGCCACTCGAATAGCGTCATCCATGTCCAAAAATATATACTATACATCACAAACGTTGCTATGCTGATAAAATCAAATATATGCAATATCACGACCCCACCAACATTAAAAAATACATGTTTTTAAAAAATTTATGCATTTCAATCAAAATGTATATTTTATTACGTCATCATCAGTATAAATGTTTCAAGATGTAGTACATCATAATATTATATTTACACGCAGATGCGTCAACGTCGATGAGGTTAGAGGTAGACTCATCGTCAGTAGACTGTATCGTGATCGTAAACTAGAACTATTAAGACGTTCATACCTGTGTACTGTATTGAAGACTGGTTAAAGAATCAAAAGAATGTTGTTGTGAAACCTCTAAAGCTATCTAGACCTTTTTAAGAGAACGTGACATAACAATATAATAAAGGCGGCTAAAAAATAATTACAAGATACTTGGTTGGTAACACGCGGGAAAAGAATCGCACGAGAATCATACACGATGTCCGTAGTACCGGAGAAAAGAACAAAGAATTAAATGTGTAAAAAAAAAACCGATAAACAAATACACGGTTGACGGCACGTTAAATACTCTCATAAAGAAAAGTGTCAGCCAAATTTATAGTTGGCATAAACCTCGCGGAACATATCTCGACACGTGATTTTAGCTCCAAGTTTTGCACATAGTAAAAATATTCCGGATAACTTTCTATGCAAGCTATATATCTCCTCGGGTGGTGGGCATAATCTATGATTTATTATAGTTGGCACCAAGGATTGGATCCTGCAACATGAACGTAGTATATATTATACGATGGATGCACAGAAATAGGTACAACATACCGTTTGGTCACATCTTGGCCGCCAAAATCGTAATACTCGTGATTATTGTCAAACACTTGGCCAAGAATCATGACTGCATCCACATGAGCATTCTCCATAATCTGATGTTGTAAATTATTGTTCACGTAGACGTGTATATGCAAGAATAGTAATGTTTTAAGATATTAGAGACGTATTTAATAGAGATAAGATACCTTGGACTCGTATCCAGTAAGAAACTTCATTTCTTGAGATAACTCTAGGACCTTGTTGCGATTTCCCTTGCTTGCGGCATTAATGACTTCTATATATTTATCCATAAACGTTTTCTCATAAGTCCTGCATGCTCCGAAATCCAATAAAATTAACTGCAAAGATGTATGCACTCTATTAGCACTCTCGTGATTAAGTTAGTAAAACAAATAGATAATTTTTTTTAATATGCGGAAAACCTGTTTTGTATCGAGATTATAAAAGAAGTTGGACCAATTTGGATCAGTCTGCATATATCGAAATTCGAATAATTCCTTTAGGGTCAAACGCATGACCAGTTCACTTATACGTTGTCTAATTTTAACATCCATATCTATACATTTGTCAACGGGTATACCCTCTATCATCTCTGTTGTAAATACTTGCTTTGTAGAGAGATCATCTAGAACGTATAAGACGTAGTAGATGATTAAAATATAAAAAAATAATTGATTCAATATAAATCTTTTTATTTATTTACCTATTACCGCAGGCACATAATAATCTGGATACGGCCGTATTAATTCCCTATATTTTTTCGTACACTCTGCTTCCCTTATATAATCCACTTCCCATGCCAGTTCCCGTTTCGCAACTTCCACCACATTGTCTATAAACATTCCTTCTGGAAACACATTCCATACCTGCGCGATAAACACATACAATATTTATGTACGATATAAAGTTTGTCTGGTAAAGTTCACGATATACACGGCTGATTCAAAATATTACCACCTTCATTATGCCTACTAAATTTTCAATATCGCTCTGAATACCCACTGCCACACCGGGATACTGAATCTTTATCGCGACATCTTGTTTATTCAATAATGTACCACGATGCACTTGTCCTAAGATATACAAATTAAATGATCTCTAAATCACAGTATTATATATTATTATGAATATAAAAAGCATCAATATATACCAATGGATGCTGCGGCGAATGGTTTTTCCTCAAAATACGCCAATTTATTTCTCCACGTGTGTCCAAGTTCGTTAGCTAACACTTTCTAGAAGGACGTGCAGATATTAAGAACGTCTCTTTTAATCTGTACACATTTGCATCATTTACCTCTACTTGCCACGTTGGCATAAAATCAGCGCTTTGTCTGACTCTTTCAAAGACCTTTTGCAATTCCGGACTTATAATAGTATTATCTTGGATGCTTAATATTTGACCGATCTTTAAACCTGCACCTATATTATCAGGTAACGTGATATACGTCTCATATATGCGTCTCATAGATACGTGTATACGGCAGTTATATGCAGCATATCATACCTTACCTCTCACTTTGCACAATGTTGAAACTATTCTTTCTGCATTAGCTTTAGTAAGAAACATACTGTCAACCGTATCCCCAATACTCTGCTCCTTTAATCCTAACGTCCTTCGTGTATATTCTGCAGCAGTACCAAGCCCAAGGCTAATACCTAAGGTACCGAAACTTACCATTCTTTGCAATCTTGTAGAAGGAACTTTTCTTTCTCTGGCAGTAGGTGATAGCTGTAATATACATGAAATAATAATACAGATACACATACCACGTTAATAAGAATATATATATAAAAAGATATAATAAATAAAAGTTTATTTTTCGATACTTACATATTGCTTTGGTCTAACTAATACGTTAGTTTTTGGCTTTTCTATAGACGTCGTTTGCGTATGTACCGCTTCCTTTTCATGTACTTTACGTCGAGAGGACGGAGCAGAACTTGCTTCAATACTGTTTTTAGTATTCTTCTCATATTCCAATTCTAATTTCCTCAAGATTTCTTTATCTTTCTCAGAGAATTCAATGTCAGGTATCTCTAGTTTGGTAATGGTCTTGATCTTTTCCTTTACACTTGTATACTTTTTCGTTGCGTTATTTTGTATGCCTGTTAAAGGCTCTTGAGTTTTTGACTTGTCAGTCGCGTATTTTGGTACGGTGTGTGTGACATCGTCACGAGGCAATTCTTTTGGATCTTTCGCAGTATCGTAGACATACAGCTTTGTTTCCTTCTTAGGGATATAACCATTATTTTTTATATCCAAAGTTTGACTAGCTGTTATCTTAATATATTGTTTAATACCTTCCTCAACCACGCTTATACGTTCAGTTACTTCTTTCAAGTCTCTCATTATCTGTCCCTGTAGAAAAAAATAACAATCTTTATAAGAGGCAACATATGTAAGATGACACGTCACTTGGGTATCACGCGCAAGACTTACAGGAACCTTACTTGGCTCTATATTATTAAATTTTTCTCCTGCAGTTTGCAGACACTTCTCAGGTAAATCTTTTAAACTGGAGTGTTTGATCCTATAGCTGATTGTATGCTCTTGATGTTTTATCAGAGCATTTGTGACACTTTTTACTCCCTTAAATACACCAAGTACATCGGAAACTTTGGATCGAGGCATTTCTGAACAAAAAAAGTGAATAATAATGAATTTTTTTGCTATTATAATATAAAATAGCTTTTTTGATTTGATAGCTTTTTAATAACAATAATATAATAATCATAATACAATATGAATATACTGTATGTCTTCGTTCGGGCATTAAGGTTATGTTATATCGTACGGACATGAAAAACACAAATTTAGTATTTTGATATAGCGACAAATGTAACTTGACGATGTAGATTATGAAAAATAATTTGTCTATAAATAAAACACGTAGAAATAACATTTTTTGTGCATTATTGTATGTACCAACGTGTCTCGGTGCCTGTGCGTGCCTGTGATCACTGATCGTATCATATCATAGGATATAGGATTGCATCATATACATGTGAAATATACGTCAGCAGCACTATAAAAGATATATATTTATATATATCTTACACATTACGTTTTCATACAGAAAAAAATGTATTTTATCTTTTTTTTATTATTACGTATCTCATTAGAATATTCACAATCTTTTTAGTTGAAATAACATATGAACAACAAACTTTAAAAATTGTTTTATTTGCTTTACATACATCTTTATTTCATCGGCGCTCTTCGTATATAGACGTCTTTCTTTCTCTATTTAAGAAAATTTAGAGAACGTTCACACGTCCACTATAATGTGTTTCCACCTTGAATGTATATCAATAATAATTATATATGTATGACGTTAACGCGATGTTTTACGCAGATATCACACCGGATGTATTCGACCGTATTAAACATCACAGGAAACGTATTCTCACACAATATAATATTATTGCTATATATATGAATTCTTTAAGAAAATTATCAAGTGCCTATTATTATCTCCTTAAATATAGCTTTATACAATACAAGCACTACATGGAACCTATATTTTTTATTTTTAGATATATGTATATACATGATTATTTATCTCTCGTTGTACCTTTATATATTAATACTCTACAAACATAAAAAAATTTTTTTTATACATTTTATTCTAATAGCTTTGGGATGGCACGTCTAACGATCTTCTTCCGAAGGAAAGTTAGCATTAATATCTATAGATCTTACGTGACTGTTGGTTTATTTCGTGACGTGCGAGTCTCTCGACAACGTAAACTGATACACATATATAATCTTTACATGTAAACGTGGATTTCCACGATACGTGTCATCAATCTTAAGCGTATGTTGATTATTAACACATATGTGAACATTTATATATATTAGAGATATATTCAGATACAAAAATCCTTGGGTATCGTAAAATTGATCAGACTTTCATAGGAATACATGTATTGAATGAATCGTGAGTTTAAGCACTTCTGACTCTACAAAATGTTAAATATTTTCAAAGTCCGGTAACACCGTGACAAAGTCATCCTTTCCAGTCTTTATATTATAATTATAGAGCTTTAAAATACGTATAGGCTTATAAAAAAGCCATTTTATAACGGAATATCCGGGATTAAATGACATTTGGCTGATCTGGAATAAGCGAAGCAAAAAACGAACTGAAGAAGGTCCACGTAAAAGCGAGAGCGCCTGGTCGTTGTTCCTCGTTCTCCTCATTGGCGTTTGTTCGTGCTTCCGGTTGCACGGTTGGCACTTGAGCATTTTGCTGTTGCGGCACAGCCTGAGGACCCACTACTTCATTCTGCAACACTTGATTATTGTTGTCTGCGCGTCCATTGTTATTCTCAGCTACGAAGATTGGTTGTACCCTGAAGAAACCGCCTTGATACCTATAACGGCGATCATCGTGTTACATTTAACACGTTTCAGGCAAGTTCAGAGAAAAACATCGTCAAAAAAAACATATATATATATATATATATATATATATATATATATATATATATATATATATATGTATATTATATATGCGTACGTGTGGATATGTCAAAGAATATTAAGGACGTGACTCACAGATATATCGCAAATCCCAAAAACGTGACGATGAGGAGCCTGAGAGGGGACGAATAGAAATACACTATACCAAATAGAACGACGATCCTAGACAACATGTAAAAGAAATCCAACCAGTCGCGATTAAACGCGGCATCCTCGCCCGCACCGTTATTTCCCGCATTGATATCGGCTGCGTCTTGAGCCGCTGGTTGGGGTTGTTCGTCGCCAACCGTGTTGTTCGTGTTGGTTGTGTAGGTATGTTGAGCTGTATCGTTTGTATTAATATTCATTTGCTGCAGGTATGGAATACTGGCTTGTAACTGTATTCCTTGCGCTGCCATTCTGCAAAAGAATATTGCAACCGTTATGCATCTTTCATATCTCTTTATCTCTTACAAAAAGTTCCAAGAGACACAGCTACACTTACAGTTGCATATACTGTGTAAAGTAGTGCGTATACGCCTGTTGCATCCAGGCTAACTGTTGACTATTTCGAGGATCGAGGTACTGCTGCTGTAAATATTGTTGATGCTGAGACGCAGTAACCGTAGCCGTCTCGTGACTTTGATTTTGAACCGTGTTACTTCTGATCTGAGTGTGTCTTGTTGCAGACGCAGTCGCCACCGTGTTATCAGTCGATCGCGTCTGATCCATAGCTTTCGCGGCACACATTTTTTGTGGGGTACAGACTAGATGAACGGTATACGCTTGATCCTCCGAACCATCGCACTGTCTCAATATATCTTTCAATTGTGCAGAATCATTTAACACGTGACCGGAATAAATTAATTTCTGATGTGAGCTTTCCTAGAAATGACAACAACGACTTGGTGTTAGATCACGTGCATATCTTTAAAAACTTTTGTAATACAGCATAATACAATAATAGCAACGACGTATAGCAAACAGCTTTTGAACCAACAACAAGGTTTAGAGCGTTTTAAATTATTTGAGAACGTAAAGGCACTTTTGTAAACGGTATACAGTCCGTGGTCGTGTGATATATCTCAAGTGCAGCTTATATATAATGGGCACGTACTAAGTTGTATCAGTAAAGATGAATAATATTTTAACAAAGATATCATATCTTTTTATACACGCAACGAGCTCATAAATACTTTTATCTAAACACATGATATATTATCTTTCCCTCTAAACAGCACAGTTCTTAGAAAGAGAGAGAGAGAGAGAGAGAGAGAGAGTTATGCATACAGCTAGCGTAATGATACGTTTGTAAAAAGAATATTTTAATCTGAATATAAAAGTAAGCCAAGTGTCTTTTCTATTAATTTTTATGTACGTAACTGAGACGTATTCTGTAGGCGTCTTGCATCTATGTGGGAAGCCGTTAAACGTTTCGCGTCGCATTGTTTAAATTTAAATAAAGAGAAACAAGAAACAAGGGAGAAAAGAAAGAAAAAAGACAAAAAGCAAAGAGAAACGCACGCTGCTTTCACTGGGCGGAAACGCGTACTTTCACGCGACTTACTGGCTTGCTGGGATAAACCTCGGACAGGTATTCCTTCAAACGGCCAATGGTCCAGCCGAGATCGCATTTGACCAGCTGGTCCTTGATCTGCTGATTCGGTGCTTTTATTATGAGATTAACGGCGGCGTCTGCCATCCTTCCGAGACTCCGAGGTCAGCTGTTGGCGTAGTACGGAACAGCGCGTATCAAAATTCTTGCCGTCTCGTCGTCGTTTACGTCGCCGCGCCGGAGAGACGGAGACGGAGACGGAGACGGAGATGGACGATCGCTCCTTTTCCTGTCGATATTGATGCTAGGAAAATTCTTGCACACGCACGTCTCGTCTCGCGGTGCCTTTTAACAACGTTCTGCAATGTCGAATGTCGACCGATCGTGCCCAACCACCGTCAAATGTCATCTGATATCAATGAAACGCAACCGTGTTCGTATGCATGTATGTATGCATCGTTGGAATTGCGATTTGGCGATCGCCCATTGGTCCGAGATTACGCGCGCTCGCTCGTGCATGTTTGTGCAAGACGTATGCCGAGTTTCCACGAGAGCTGCGTTCCGAAAGTATAGTAAAAACATCTCATATGCAAACATGTAATATTTATAAAGTGTTTGCGCAATTTTAATGAACGTAGCAAAAAATCAATTATTTTTAGCCAATTCTAAACCATATTATTATACTTAATTCAAATTCGCAATGTAAGGGCCAAAGCACATATGACAGTCGTAGTCGTGGACGTAAGTAACGCACAAGCTTTGGCGTATCCTGATCTGTCAGGTCGGGGTCTACGACCGTCGTATATCGCTACGCCATGTTATGTGCTTTGGCCCTAATGCTGACTCTATAGACGCGAAAACGCCGTGCGGTAGAGTGCGTTGACCAATGGCTGCGTTCAGCCGATACCCCGCTAGCCTAGCAATCGTGAGTATCGGCTGAACGCAGCCAATCAGAAAGCTGCCGCAAGTCGCCTGCGGCAAAATCAAAATTTGTGATTGGTCAACGCACTCTGCCGCATGGCGTTTCCGTGTCTATGGAGTCTTA